CAATTACTCACCTGAAGGGTAAAAATCCTCCAACAGCACAATGTGACACAACAGATTAGTACCAAGAATTTTCAATTACTCACCTGAAGGGTAAAAATCCTCCAACAGCACAATGTGACACAACAGATTAGTACCAAGAATTTTCAATTACTCACCTGAAGGGTAAAAATCCTCCAACAGCACAATGTGAAATAGCCGATCGGTACCAGGATGTAGAGGGAATCTCTCGGGGAAAATTTTTCGTTCGACAAGGAGCATCAAAAGAACCAGACAAATTTTTTCCAAATATTGCTCCTAACACCGTGAGAGGATAACCAACTAAAGAAAGGGTATTAAATTTTATTAAAAGGATAACTAACTAAAGAAAGGGTATTAAATTTTATTAAAAGGATAACTAACTAAAGAAAGAGTATTAAGTTTTATTACAAGGATAACCAACTAAAGAAAGAGTATCAAATTTTATTAAAAGGATAACCAACTAAAGAAAGGGTATTAGATTTTATTAAAAGGATAACCAACTAAAGAAAGAGTATTAAATTTTATTAAAAAGATAACCAACTAAAGAAAGAGTATTAAATTTTATTAAAAGGATAACCAACTAAAGAAAGAGTATCAAATTTTATTAAAAGGATAACCAACTAAGGAAAGGGTATTAAATTTTATTATAAGGATAACCAACTAAAGAAAGAGTATCAAATTTTATTAAAAGAACTATTTTTGTCAAATATGAATCATTACCATGTTAGAGATTAAATTCTAAAAAAATTGCAATACAACATTATTTAAAAAGGATTTAACATTAAACAATTAATATTTTTTTGACATACAAGCTATCTAGACACAGTGGTGTGTGAAAGATCTTGCGTATGTTCTTGTCAGTCATAAGTGTTGAAATATGTGTCAAATCTAATCCTGGAAAACTGTCTATCAATAAGACAACTTCATACAAGATGAAACTTTCTGAGCCAGTGGCAGTACATTGGTATTTCTACATGTGCCGTCATAAAAACAAATGTATCAAACTCAAAATAATAACGCAAATACATTCTTAAAATTAATATATTATAACCATTGAATGCAACTGAACCAGTTTTTTTGGTACATTAACAAATTATAATGAAATAAAAACCACTATATGTGACAGATATATACTGTTTACATACTTATTAGCAACTACATCCCTAATAATGTCCATCACTAGCCCACTTTGTGGAACAAAAATTTGTAATAAATATTTAACATATCTTTAATAGAAATATAATTATATTACATTTCTGTTACAATATATATTTTAAAACTATATCTCTACACTCCTTTCAGAAGTTCGCTTGTTGCTACAGCTCAAGTTTAAACAATGGCCCACGTGCTCAACCCACTGCAGGTATTGAAACCTGATCTTTAGTGATATAGGCCATCAAACTCACCACTGAGATCTCTTGGGAAGGGGGAGGGCACATTTTAGAAGTTGTGTTATGTTTGTTTCTAAAAAACTCCTGCTAGTTTTTAAGGTCACAATGGGGTAAAGTTCACCATCAAACTACATTGGTTTCAAAGTTTACTAATGGGTTTTTAAAAGCAACTGTTAAAGCTATTACTTTAACAAAACAGACAAAGCAGAAGAACCAATAAGATTAATCTGTTACCTTCATGTAATACGACAGGCTCAAGAAAAGCATCTGTTTTAATTGCTAGAATTTGAGAAAAAAAAGAACACAGGGAGCTAGCTCTATGACTATGAAAGAGAAATTAATCTCAGCTTTCAGAAGTTATATTAATAATTTTTATGTGTGAATGCTTAGAAATTGTACAATAAGAAAATGTACTAAATTTAGTTTGTGACAACAAAAACTTCAAAATTTCATCATTTTCAAACTACCGGAGCTAAAAAAAATAGCACCATACATATGCAAAAAGAACAGATTTTCTGTTATGTTTTATCAATACAAGCAGGAAGTCTTTTCCCCAAATAAAACTCACAACATAATGGTCCAAATAAAGGTTAGCAGTTTGGAGTTTTCTTTTTATAAAAAGTAAATGTTAAGAAGCTTTATATACAAACAATAATCTAAGTCTGAATATCTAAGCCCCAGTTTTATTTAGCAAGTGATCTGAAGAGATTGGGATATCAAACAATTATTTCAAAATTAATTTTATCACGTATCTTCATGAAAACATGAAATAAAGGACTGGGAAAGATTATTAAACCAAACCTTAAGTCTAAAACCACTCAGCTTAGCTGGATATCTTTCATTATGACAAAAATCTCATTTTCACTTTCTATACTGATACAAGCTTTCCTAAACTAATACTTCAGTCTACCACCCAGGCTTTACCTTATACAGCCATCATTCTTCTGTTAACAGTATGGGTTTTTGGTAAGTAGCAAACAAACTTTTAAACATGGTTCATCTTTGTAAGTATAAAGAGATATTTAATATGGCCCCACGTGGTAGAGACATATTAAGAATTGTTTGAAATCATTTAAGTTTTATTCTGATTGTTTACTTATTAAAATTTAATTATTTACCTGTAAAAACGTTTCTTAAATTTGTATATCTTACAGAGTTGTACTACTTACCAAAAACCCATATTGCTAACAGAAGAATGATGGTTGTATAGAGTAAAGCACATGTGGAGTTGTACTACTTACCAAAAACCCATATTGCTAACACAAGAATGATGGTTGTATAAGGTAAAGCATGTGTGGAGTTGTACTACTTACCAAAAACCCATATTGCTAACAGAAGAATGATGGTTGTATAAGGTAAAGCATGTGTGGAGTTGTACTACTTACCAAAAACCCATATTGCTAACAGAAGAATGATGGTTGTATAAGGTAAAGCCTGTGTGGAGTTGTAAGCCCAGGCTATGCTGTTTTGTACACTCCAGATAATAAAGAATGGAACTGTAAGGAAACAACATTGTATGTGACCTAAGAATATTAACACAAAAAACTAAAACATTAAGTTAATTTTTACACACTATAATTTATTATAAAGAAAAAGTAAATCCAATATTTTCCAGAAATTATATTAATGAATATTTAAACAGGTAAAACATTTACTGAGAAAAAGTTACACAACGACCTATCTATACTGTGCCACTATGTTTTTAGTGTTACAAGTGTTCAGACTTACTACTGAAATAAAAACCATCATGATAAGTTAAATCAATACATTTGGTAATACAGAACCTAACCAACCAAAACACAGTATGTTAAACCAATATACTAGATAATATACTGAACCTAACCTACCAAAACACAGTATGTTAAACAAGTATACTAAATAATATACAGAACCTAACCTACCAAAACACAGTATGTTAAACAAGTATACTAGATAATATACAGAACCTAGCCAACCAAAACACAGTATGTTAAACCAATATACTAGATAATATACTGAACCTAACCTACCAAAACACAGTATGTTAAACAAGTATACTACATAATATACTGAACCTAACCTACCAAAACACAGTATGTTAAACAAGTATACTAGATAATATACAGAACCTAACCAATCAAAACACAGTATGTTAAACCAATATACTAGATAATATACAGAACCTAACCAGCCAAAACACAGTATGTTAAACCAATATACTAGATAATATAGTGAACCTAACCAACCAAAACACAGTATGTTAAACCAATATACTAGATAATATAAGTGAACCTAACCAACCAAAACACAGTATGTTAAACAAGTATACTAGATAATATACAGAACCTAACCAACCAAAACACAGTATGTTAAACAAGTATACTAGATAATATACAGAACGTAGCCAACCAAAACACAGTATGTTAAACAAGTATACTAGATAATATACAGAACGTAGCCAACCAAAACACAGTATGTTAAACAAGTATACTAGATAATATACTGAACCTAACCTACCAAAACACAGTATGTTAAATCAATATCCAATATAATATACAGAACCTAATGAACCAAAACACAGTATGTTAAATCAATATCCAAGATAATATACTGAACCTAACCAACCAAAACACAGTATGTTAAATCAATATCCAAGATAATATACTGAACCTAACCAACCAAAACACAGTATGTTAAATCAGTATACTATGTAATATACAGAATTTTACCTGCAAAAACACAACAGGTTAGGTGTACGTTAGATACCCATTTATCTTCTCCCATTTGCTTGTACATTTTTGCAGATACATAGCCAGCAATACCTGCAAAAGAAAAAATATGTTATTATCTCATATTGACACTACTTAGAAAGATTTATCATGTTTGAGAAATGCTATTCTAGAACAGATTATAATACTTGTAACGTCCAGATTTTGCAAACAGTATAAACTTCATATGTGATACATATTAGCTAAAAATGTAACACGAAACATCAAGAAATTTTCAACTGACATTTATTACACTTGACAAAATATTGGAGAGTACCCGAGATAAAAACAACACAATAAGGCATACTATCACACAACAACATACAAACTGTAAAAACTCCAAACTATGTGATAGTTTTATCGAATAAAGTACAAAATTTAATAAAGAATCCAAGCAAACTTGTAGCAAATAGATGAGGTGCTCTGCTGAGATCTTGAACATAATCAATGTAAATTATGATTGATTGAAAACTGAACAATCAGTGACACAAGCTATGAACTTAAAAAACATTTCTAACAAGTCATTACTGACCACTAGATTAAATACTTGGGTAAATGCATACAACAAAACAATAAGTTACATCAGACCACAAGGACGACTACGTAGATGAAGTAAAGGCATACAACAAAACACTAAATTACATCAGACCACAAATATGACTACTTAGATGAAGTAAAGGCATTAAATTACAACAGACCACAAGGACAACTATGTAGATTAAGTAAAGGCATTAAATTACATCAGACCACAAGGACGACTAGGTAGATGAAGTAAAGGCATTAAATTACAACAGACCACAAGGACGACTACGTAGATGAAGTAAAGGCATTAAATTACAACAGACCACAAGGACGACTACGTAGATGAAGTAAAGGCATTAAATTACAACAGACCACAAGGACGACTACTTAGATGAAGTAAAGGCATTAAATTACATCAGACCACAAGGACGACTACTTAGATGAAGTAAAGGCATTAAATTACATCAGACCACAAGGACGACTACTTAGATTAAGTA